AGATAAAACTTTATTGATCCCTTTGGTAGGTTAGCTCAGGGACAACACCGACAGAGACAGTAGTGACACATCAATTAAAGAAAACAGCAAACAAATTATGAAGAAGAACAACACAGTGTGAAAATAGTAACAATTATAGTAGTAATGATAATGATAATAATAATAATAACAATCATCATCATCATCATAATAAGCTGTATAATATATGATAACAATCAGTGTAATTATAGGTAAATATAGGTGAGTGTATATAATACAAATGTGCATCAAATATATATTAAAAAGATCAATATATGTAGATATATGACACGATAGCACAGCAACAGAGGGTAGCAGCACGGTGCAATATCAACAATAATAATAATTTATGACTTTAAAACATCTATTTACTCATAAATTCTGTGGGACTGTAAATGGTTCATGAATCACCCAAATAACAGCAAGACTTTAACGTCTGCTTCAGTGTCACCTCTACTAAAGAAAAAACATGTATAGTTTTAATAATCTCACTATCAAATGTGTTTAATTTTCCAATTCATGTAAACGAGCTTCAATGCATTTTTAAATTTTTTGTGTTTGTTGTTCTCTTTGTTAATTTCTCGCTATGTAAATAAAAATTATTGGCTATCGGTTTTATTTGTTCAATGATGCAAACACTTATTTTTTATTTAACACTTCCTGTCTTACGTGCTTTCTTTCTAAATCTTTTTGTTTATCCCTATTAAACATTTTTTTACTTGTCAGCGTTTCCTGTAATGCATCAAATCACTACATCTGATCCCTCGTATGTGAAAACTTATTTGACGATAAAACTGACTCAGATTCTGATTACTGATCGTTATTTTATTATCAATTAATCTGCCGGTTGTTTTCTTTATTGATCTATTCCTTGTTTGGTCTAAAAAATCTCAGAAATGGGAACAAAACAAATGGTGAAAAAATGGTGAAAATTAATTATTTATTTGTTTCCTAAAGCGTAAGATGACAAAAAAATCAGTTTACTGTCATGAAAGAGTGAAGAAAATGTTCACATTTATTAGCTGGAATCAGAATATTTAGAATATTTTTAATCAGTTTTAAAAAATTGTCGACTGATTTGATAGCTGACGACTGATTATCAAGCAGCTCACTGATGCAGCTGTAGGCGCTTTAGATGCTTAAAATCTCCTCATCACTTATCAATAACTGAAAAAAAAACCTGAAAGAAATTAAAGAAATTAAATCAAAGTTTGAAATTACAAGACTTCATCAAAATCGCTTTAATCTACAGGCTTTGAAAACATCCTGTTAGAGGAATTTCTGCACTTCAAAACACAACTGAGCCACTTTTCAGATGAACTGCAGAGAAAGAGTTGAATAAAAAAAATCCTGGATCAGTAAAATAAATGCAGCATGGCTCAGACACAGTACACAGAGGAGCCAGCTGTTGGAGGATAGCATGGTGGAACAGAGCTGATGTGCAAAGTAGAGTGAAATACACAAAAAGTACAAATCTAGATGGTTAAATATTTGAGCCACTATTATGGACGGAGTGGGATTTCTCCAACGGGTGAGTACACTTGGAGTCATAGTTCTGTCATTTAAACTGTGAGTGTCTTATGAGCTTCATCAACAAACCCATAATTTCAGGCCTGTACATCAGCTTCAGGTGCTCGTCTCATGCACTCGTTGCTTGCTGAAGAAAATAATAAGAATTAGTTACCAAAAAAACAAAGGAACTTTCGGCTGACAGCGATTTGCTTAAGGAAAAAAAACACACCTCCCTAGTGTGAGTAGTGATCTGAGCCTGGCCCCTCCTATGGCAATTTAAAAATAATATCCAGAAGGTGGAGGCATTATTATCCCCTGTTATGTAGATGTGACTGTCATTAGAACACAGGAAAGATTTCTGTTGCACTATTTCAGCAATGACTGACAAAACATGCAAAAAGCTGCTTTTGTGCGTTCGTTTGAAGTCCAAGAATGCCCGTTGTTGTCTCATACCGTTTAAAATAACCTGTGGACAACACATTCTCTGAACACTTGCGTCTGATTTATCTCCTCTGTGTGTTTGTCCAGGTCCTCTGTCCACCATCCCACATTCCCTCTGCTGCTCTTTGAATTCCAAAGAGCAAACTCTCTCCAACGTTTTAAAATACGCACCAGCTCAGGGGGGTTGCTCTTCAAAGTGGGGATGTCCAGCTGGCAAAATGTGTTTGTGTGGTATTTAATGTGCCCCCTGGTGTCTTTAAAGGAGCACAGCAACTTTAAGATGTTTGACATCCTGGCATCTGCTGTCCATGTTCTCTGACAGGGCTGCACGGTGGCTCAGTGGTTAGAAGCTAGAAGGTCGCCGGTTCGCGTCCCGGTGAGGACAGCTGGGATCTTTCTGCGTGGAGTCTCCATGTTCTCTCTGGGTTCTCCGGCTTCCTCCCACAGTCCAGAAACATGTTGAGGTTAATTGGTGATTGTAAATTGTCCGTAGGTGTGAATGTGAGTGTGCTTGGTTGTCTGTCTCTAAGTGTAGCCCTGTGATAGACTGGTTACCTGTCCAGGTGAACCTGCCTTCGCCCTGAGTCAGCTGACTCCAGCCCCCCGTGACCCCAGTGAGGTGTAGATGATGAATGGATGGATGTTCTCTTACAACTCAACATGTGATTTGAGGTGACAGTTTAACAAATCACTCAATATCAGAGTTCAAACAGCTGATGCAGCGCTGGAGCCTCTGGAGCTCCGCCATGTGTGCCACCGCAGAAAGTCACAGTGGATGATCCGGTTATACGTGAGTAATGTCCACGGTTGTCCTTCCCTCAGCACAAAATGTGTCAGACAGGAAAGCAGCGTGCAGGATGACACACTGGCTGGTGGAAAAGTCCTGATAATGTTCTGCTGTTCCAAGGCCGTCCTCGGTGCCCTGACAACGCCTCCTTTGTGCGTTGAAGCTGTAATCTGCTGAAACAGATTCACACTTAGCAGCTGTTCAAAGGGAAAAAGGCCATCGCTGTCGTGTCGAAGCAGCATCGGTGACATGTCGAAATAAATCTTTTTCCTTTACATAAGAGGACTATTGATTCCCTGGGAATGTGGAGGTGCTATTTATGAAGTTCCACCTTTAAACCTTTAGATAAACACTTCAAATTCATTACTGTCGATCATTATCGGACACACCATTGCCTGCTATGTAATAATAAAAAACCTGCTTCGTCTGCCCCGTCTATGAGGACGGATCAGCCTTTTATCTATTTATAAAGCCATATTACAAAAGCTGGCGTCCTGCTCTGTTGGAATGCTGCTCATCATCATACCTGCTCACCTGAGAACGTTGTGCCTTATGTTACTGCGGCCCACATACCTGACCTCATTAACACCTCAGAGACACTTCACAGGTTTGGTTACGGCTCCTGTTGACTGGAACTGTCTTTACTTTTGATTTTATTAAGTTGTTTCGTTGCTAATTCCTGCAATAAAGTCAGTTTTTATGCATTGATTTTAAAAGCATTTATTGGATGTGCCTGTAAATGACGGTTTCAAAAGATGAAATGAAAAACCATTAAATGAAGCTGCATTCCCGGCTCGCCTTCTTTAGGACACCTTTGTTTTTTCTGCTATGCCAAGTCATTCTGTCTGGTGTGAGTGTATCCTGCGTAGCCTCTGTGATTCTCTGATGGTATTTAATTAAAAGATTTAGACCCAGTTTGAACACGTGTGGCTGAATCACTTCAATGTTCACTAATTGACAAATGAATCACATTCATTGTTTGTGCGATTGCTGCCAGCAGTCATGTTGAGGAGGTTTATGACTTATATGTGTAATGTTTATTTTTCTATTTATGTTTGTGTAAATTTAAAAATGACCGGGATCCTGTGGGAGAATGGATTTAACTTTCATTAAACATATTTAACCCTGTTCAGGACTTGTGGGGTGTTTTAGACCCCAGGCCATTTGGTTTAGGTGACAGGTGTTGTTTTTTTGTTTTTTTTCTCACTTTTGAAGATTTTTTTAAAATATAAAAAGGACATTTGTTGAGCATTTGGAACCAAAAATACGTCAACTTATCAGAAAATGTATTTAACATAGCATAAAAGTCTATAATGAACACCAACAAATACTTTGCACATATTCTTTCTTGGGCTCCAATGGACCCTAAAACATCTTCTACATATGGAAACAAGAAAGTCCTGAACAGGGTTAAATATAAAAGTTTGCTGCTCTGTTATATGTGCATCTTCTGACCCAGTCCAAGACTTAAAATACTCCCAAGGCTTTGAGCTTTTAAACATTTTGTTTGCTAAAAAATGTTTCTGAGATTTCTACCTTCAAAGTGAAGAGTTTTGCAGGTTTTGGGAGATTTTCTTAGTGTGTGATCAGCAGTGGTTTTTACGTACAAGCTGCTTTAAAATCCACACGTTTGTCTCTGTTAGCACATAATTGGCATTTAAATGTAGCCACAAGTGTTTTGTTTCTCACAGTGTTCGATTTAAACCTTGACTGACAGCAGACTCACTATCAGGCTCTCAGTCACTGCAGTAGGAAGTGAAGGCGGACTTGGTTCACGTGGAGACATCATCACGCTCAGCAGCTCAGTCCCTCCCATGATGCATTTAACGTGACTTCAACAGATCAGATCACTAAACAAGGAAGTCATTAGTGGTCTTTGAGTGTCTTCCATTGCTACTTGAACTTTACGGCAGCAAAGTCAATGTGGAGAAAACAAAACATGAAGCTGTGGTTGAGCTGAAGGTCGCAGGTTCAGCATCTTTCTCTACATGTGCTGTTTAACTTAAAGCAACCAATCAGTGTCGTCCATTGTGTAGCAACGGCTGACTTGAACAGTTTCAGGTACATTGTAAAGTAGAAAGGGAACATTTTCCAGACAAAAAAATCTATAAATATTTATTGTGATCCACAGAGATACGTTTGTAGGAGTTTAACCAATGAGCAGAGAGGGACTGCACTGGATCAGACCTCAAACACATCAGAATTAAAGCTCGACCTTAAGGGAAATAAGCAAACCATACAGTTCTAGAGATGAAGATAAGTTTAATCAAGATTAAATATATGCCCAAAAAGATCTCGCAACTCATAAGAGATTCAAACAGGTCAAAACAATACAAAAAGATGAGCTTTTCTGTCTGTCACGTCGGTGGAGTCGTACAGCTTTTGTACCTCCTACAAGTTTTGGACTTTCATTCGGGGTGTATCTCAGCCACCTTATGTTACAGTGCATTGATTCGCAAAAAAACCATAGCCTTCTTCCACATCTAAAAACCCATACATAAACTCATTTATAGAATTATTTACATACAAGGCTTGTACAACTCGACTCAAACCATTTGGTGAGCAATAAGAAACTTGAGAAGAAACAAACATCACATATCAGAGGATATGGGAACTTCCTTGAACTTTACGGCCTGGTTCGGCCATAGGTAGTGACATTTTGTTACACAAATCACTCAACGGGTCGGAGGCAGGAGTAATTAAATAATCTGACAGAGTTGCCGGAGGATTGCTCAACTCGCAAGATATTCGGCCTCTGTCGCAAGTTTGCTTGCACGCACACACAGAAATGCACAGTCAGTGTGATGAAGTGAAGCCCGACGCCTTCACCGAACACATTCAACAACCATCGTTCAGATTCAGACAGTTTACACAGCACCGCTAACGTCAAACCGAACAACAGAATGAATCTAAATCATGGCAACCAAGTTCTAAAGTAGAATACATTTAGATGTCACAACTGAGTTAGTAAGCGACCGCGTCACCCGGCGACACGACGACGAGTCCGGATCGTCTCGGTTTATTCACAATACTCTGGATGACAATCGGAGTCGACGCCTACCAGGAGAAAAACGATGAAAATAAAAAAATGGAACACAGCATTTTGCGTCGTGGATTTTGGATTTTTGAACGCTGCACGGATGTAACAGTGTGTCATGACCTCCAAAAACGTGGGCGGTTAGTGGATCTCTTTATTGTCACGTGTGTGTTTGCCAGAACTCAGTACAGCAAAATCTGAAATACACACAGAACGATGAACACAAAAACCTCCCAAGTCATATTAACAATACCTTTTTTTTTTTGTGATTAATGCGCAAAAAAATACAGACAGTTTTTGAGTGACGTGGGGAAACCATAGAAACAGGGACCGTCGAGAAGCAGCTGCTTGGATGTAAAACGAACTGAAACACGCTGATAAAAATGTTCAGGAGAAATGGAAACAAACATATATATATATTTATATAAAGTAATTTGTTTTTAAACTTCTTTTTTCTGTATCATACTGAGATGCTTGTGGTTGGAAGGCCAGAAAGCCCACAACCATACTTGACCATGTGCATGACTCCCCCTCACACCCATGTGACTCCATGACTTCCTGCCTGTCCTTCATAAGTTATGCTCCATTAATGAAACCTAGTCCTGGTGCACTCTGTTAATCAGACTACAAGAAGAAATAAGGGTGAGAAACAGACTGTTTGTGTGCAAGGATAAGCCCAAAAAGACCACTGCTTCCACGAAACAATCCTCTCGTATCTTCACATATGCGCTAAGTTAAGAGAATGACAGGCGGCTGCTTTACAACAGAAGAAGGACGCGTGTACCCTGGTGGTGTCTTTAATGTGTGAAAGAGACTTGGCAAAAGACCAGAAGACCTCTGTGTAGAAGGCATAGTGTTATGAAGCACATTTGCAAATACAACTGGATTTCCAACATTGTCTGTGTTCTCTGGGGATAAACAACCACCAGCTTCCACCAAACAGGAAACACTGGCTCACAGAGCGCTGGACTCGCCAAGTTTCCATCCATGGTTACGAAAACGCCACTCGGGGGCAGAAGCAGCCACAAGGCCACGTTGGACAGTGCTGGGGCCGGTGTGGTGGCAGAGGAGGAGGAGGAGGAGGAGGAGCCCGGGGTGGAGGGAAGGAGGGGGCAAAAGTGGTAAAATACAACATGAGAGCAAAGTCCTACAGCTTGGTGTATGTGAGCGCAGCAAAGACAGGTGGTGAATATACAACAGGAATACACACTCCTCTTGGAAGGGGCTGGATGATGGGGTCTAGCATGGTGTAATCTGGGGTCACGCGTACACGTACAGTACATACATATTAGTCCAATCTCCAGTCGAAGGGCTCCAGATGTGTCTCTTTGTCACCCTCTGGTGGTTCTGTCCAGAACAGATCTGGCATCACTTTCTCTTTCGCGCACACACACACACATACACACACAAATACAGGCTGCCTTCACACTAATCTCCACCCATACACACAAACACACACATATATGAACATACACACTCCTTGGCTCCCCGTGTGTCTGTATTCAGGCTTATCTGGTGTAGTAGACTCTGTAGTAAACACTCTTGGAGCGCCAGAGTGAATAGGAGTTGTCAAACTTGAGCAGGTAGACTCCGCGGCCGGGGTACTGGTGGCTGCCGGCGTACACCTCTTCGTGACAGTCCCGCCGGTAAACCGGCACAATCTCATCCACCTGGGGCTTCCCTGCCTCCTTCTTGGCCTTCTCCTCTTCGTTGGGAGGATCACCTGTGGGCACGAGGACAGCGTTTCATGTTGGAACGTAACTAATGAGTCTAATGTTTTTAAATGGTAGTCCACAGCTCCACTACGTTTAGCAGTGTCATTGTAAATCTTAATGTTATTAGTAGGGATGCACGACACATCGGAGACCACATCGATATCGGCCGATATTTGTGTTTTTTCCAATATATCGGTGTCGGTCTGATGAACAAATTTAGCTCATGATTGTCTGACATCAGCGCCTTCGTCTCTACATTTGATATCGCTGCTATTTCACAGATGTTTTTACTTAAATGGTCCTTTAACGTTAAATATGTTTTACTATTGTTACGTAATAAAGATGACTAGTGGTCTAATTTGGGCTTCTTTTGAATAGTTTTCTCACAGTGCTTACTTATACTAATTTTTCGGTGTGAACAAAAACTGAATATCGACATTGGTGATATCGGTTGTTGACGATATCAGAAATCTGAATATCGGTATCGGCCAGACATTTGAATATCGTGCATCACTAGTTATTAGTTGATATTTGTGCTTCAGGACTGAGTGCAGTGGAAAAGAATTCTTCCGATTACATGCATTAAAGAAAATCAGTTCAATTTTGGCAAACTAAAATAAACTCTGAGCTTAATAACTGTTTAACAATTCTGAGTATGTGCTCCTGAATGAGGAATAATTATAGCACCATATATTACAATGTGTATCTCTTAAGCTAATACGGCTTGTACAGTAACTTATCAACATCCTGCCTAATGCATTCATTCTTAATTACACAATGCTCTGGTTTCCACTGAAGAGCACAAGCAGGACTTTCACTGCCATGAGGAGAGCGAGCGGATGTTTGACTTTGGTGGACACACAATCTGAACACCAGATAAGAATAAAATATTTACTGGAAAACTCGTCACTCTACAGGCTGAGAAGAGAGAACAAATGAGACAGATAAGAGATGGGAGACATTACCACTAAAAGCAACGGGTTCTGTAGCAGAGATGGAGCAGTAATGAGCCACGATGACCTCGTGTATGTGGTACATAAAAGCAACAGCAAATGGTTGTGAACCTCAGATCTTAAGGACAATCATGACCCATCTATCAAGCACATAAACACATTCAATTTGTGGAGACATAGATGTGAGAAAGCCCTGCAGATTGCTTTCCTTACCTTCATCATCCTCATCCTCGTCACTGGACTCTGACACGTGCACGCTGACTGAAGCGGACGCAGCGTCCGTCCACTCGAAGAACACCCCAAACCCGATGTCATAATAGTCTGTGGCAAACTCCCAGAACAGGTAAGATCCCTCCTCGTGGGTGGGAACACGTACAGTCACCACCTCGCCACGCCCCACCGTGATCACGCTGTCTGCATCCTGGCGGATTTTCTCCTTGAAGTCCTTGATCTGCGGCCGCGTCCACATGGAAGGAGCAGCTATGACTGGCGGGGAGTCTGCTGTGATCAGGGGACAAGAGATATTTTGCAATCTGTCGTAAAAATCTGCAAATAGAGTCTGCAAATGCTGGTTCTCTGTTACAGAATAAATATTATATTTCCTAATAGGTGGCTTCCTTCCTGCATACACAGACTGAATGCTCAACAAACAGAGTCTTATGTCATCTCTTTACACCGTGTGTGTCCTGAAGTGGACAGGGAGAGATGACCTACATGTTCACATGTGATCAGTAGAAAAGATTTGTTTCTGCCAAAATATCCTCTATCCATCATTCCTGTAAACTATATTTTGAACAGTGGATTTATTTGGACCAGGATATACAGAATGCTTTGGAAACTAAAGGCCTTATTCGTTTCTGCTACGACTTCTTACACTTCAGCGAGCAGAATGTGGTTAGTTGATATCTAAACCTGCACCATTATCATGTATCACTTGTTCCAGCTCTTCTCCTCCCTGCCCTCCAGGTCACATCAACAAGGACGCAGCAGATAAGAATCAGGTTTCAAGTTTGGTAAAAGACTCTGTTTGTCTGACAGAGAGCTTCCCTCCCCTCTGCCCTGTAGCCATTAGCAGCACGATGAGGAAACTCTTCTGTACTTGATGCTTCTTTATATGAAACAAACAAAGCTGCAGCCCACCAACCTAATAAAGGCCCGTTCTCTGAGACCTCCTCTGCCGGTTCAGGCTCTGGCTCCCGGTCCATGCTCTCTGAGTAAGAGTCTGACTGGCCTCCATTGACTGTAGGAACCTCCTCGCCAACAAGCGGTGGAGCAGCACAAAGCGGTCCTGCTGCTGAGGCGGCGACGGGTTCGCCGCTGTTGAAGCCGCTAGATTCTAGGGTGCCCTGCACAACTGAATCAGCCTGCTGCTGCTGCTGCTGCTGCTGCTTCTGTAAGGCCGCCTAGGACGAGAGGAAGATAGCACAAGGTCAACATCATAAACTAAACCACGGACATAAACCAAGAATGTTGTTTCTATAGGGCTGATGGAGGGAATGCGGCTCAGCTGTCAGCGTGTGAGGGGAAAACCTTTAAATGTTTGTTTGCTCAATACTGTGTTTCATACTTATTCAAACGAGGACGTTAACAATTAAATTTCCATCTTGTGACAACATTTTGAACATTTTGTTGAGTTGCCTTTTCTGGAATGTTAATGGATGTTTGGTTGTTTCTGTCTTTAATTCTGACTGCATCAAAGTAACATCAACAACTGCTCACAACAAAGATTTTATTAACACCTCAAAATTTAAACCCAACAGTTTTCTGGAGCACATTCTCACCCCCTAAACACCTAAACAGCCTTTTCTGACATGCAGCTTCACTTTATTCAAGCAACAGCGAATCTTTTAAAACCATCTTGTCAATAATTAAACCAAATACTTCCCCATTAACCTCAAATTCTGAAGGTTGCACAATAAAATCCATATATAAAAGTCCATGCTGCAGTGCTCCAACACCCTACCTGTTGCTGGGCCAGCTGGACCTGGTAGAGCTGCTGCATGTACTGCTGGTAGTGCTGCTCCTGGAGCTGACGGATGAGACCCAGCTGCTGCTCCGGGCTGTTGGGGTACTGCTGAGCAGCGTACTGTTGGAACTGCACCGCTGTCTGGGCATTCAACGCCGCCATTATCTGTTGTCTGGTTCAAGCAACAAGACGGGTAAAATGAGTGAGGATGGACAAGAAAGAGAGACGATAAGAAGCTGGATGATTGTAATACTAAGAGAGCTGAAGTGAGATCAATTTCAAGCTGCTTGACAATTAATGCTGCTGATTGAAAACTGAAAAATGAACTGTGATGTAAACATCACATCCAGGGGAGTGTGGTGAAGTCATGCTGAATTCAAAAGCTTATGTTGCAAGCCCAATCATACAGAAACAAACCAGCACCACACATACTTCTGCTGTTCAATTCGTAGCCTCTCCTCCTCTGCCTGCCTCCTTTCCTCCTCCTCTCTCCTCAGCCTCTCCTCCTCCTCAAGCCTCCGTCGCTCCTCCTCCTGCCTCTGTCGCTCCCTCTCCTCTTCCTCCAGCCTCTGACGCTCCTCCTCCTCTTTCCTGAAGAAAGGCAAAGACAGAATTGTAGGATCTAAATCATGGACAAACATTACTTGTAATTTACGTGAACTTGCAAATAAACATTCAGCCATCAAGCGAAGCAGACAAGGGATTCTAACAAGGTCAGGTACAACCCATCAACCTAAACTTAACGCTGATTCACAGGTTTTCTTGCTACATATAGAACGAGCTGAGGTCAAGTCTGCATTTAGACGCTGTACCGGAGGGATCTCCCTCGGGGGAATGAAAGCTGAGCACCTTACCTTTTCCTCTCCTGCTCCTCTCTTTCAATCTTATGTGAAGTGACGTAGGGTGCAAAAAGGTTACAGCACTTGTTAAGTAGCTTGACAAACTCCACCATGGCCTCCTCCTTCTCCATGTTACCCAGGGACGCCCACTCTTTCCTGCAAACAGAGCAAGATGGAGATGAAAATAGACAGCACAGACTGCTGGGGAAATTGGGATCAGTCATTAAGCATTTACTGACTTCTCTTTGGATAAAAAAAACCCTCTTTTTATCTCTCCATATAAAAATCCATGTTGTAGTTAATTATGAGCACAAAAAATTAATGGACCTTGAGTACAGTGCAATCAAACAAGTTTTTAATGCGTTTTAAATTCATAAAGACAAAACAAGCCCCCATCAAGTGTTAGAACGGCTTGTGTCAACAGTTTAGTGAATCAAAAGGAATGTGTGCTTGTTCCCTGATGCACAGCAGAATTACTGGAGTGTCTCCTACAGTCCAAAGGTGACCTGCACAGACGCACATACAGACCTGCGGTCGTTACCCAGGACATCAAAGAAGCCGACCTCCGGCGAAGCATCAGGATTGTACGGGCCGAGTAACACCTGTTTGTGCAGAGCCACCAGTCGAAGCTTCTCCTCGTAGGTCGGGTGGAAGGCCTTGCCATCTTTATCTGCGAGCAGCAACGTGGAATCAGTGAATTTGCATTCATTTGCTTTTCATAAACTGTTCTATTTATGTCCACATGCAGTGAAAGGTGCACGTGATGTCGTACATCTAAGAGGCAGCAATAACAGAAGCTGGTAGCGTAGCATTCTGGCTCCAAGACTGAAGTCCAGGAAACAAAACAGACCCTCCCGACTGTGATTTTCAAAACCTGTGGGCAGCCTCTGTTGCTTCAATCATTAACAACCACATGCTGAGATTACCACACGCTCACCGACACTTCATTCAAGCTAAGGCGAGGCAAGAGACAAACGTACAAGTTAAGCAAGTAGACCGAACCCTAACAGACAATCTGACAATTAACACAAAGCCCAGATTACTATCGCAGAGATTGCCAATGAGGGCCAAACCTGTTTGTACAGTCGCCGAGCAAAGAGAGCACAAATGCCTGGTGTGGATCACGGTTTACACATTTTCAAAGATGTTTGCAAAGCAACCACTGACTATACCCCGTCCTACATCAGGCATGTTGAGCCAAAAACAGCACTCAGACTTTAAAGATGAGTTTCTCTCAGGATGACAAATTACACACTCCTGTTTGTTTGAGCTGTTCTGGTTTGACCGGCTATTTCTTTTGCAAACTAGTTGAGGTGAAGGGAACTTAATAAACGATCTATACCTGCTGTCAAAATTATAGATTTATCCAGGAATTCAAATGAATGAATCAAGTTTCATTCAATGATTCACTGTTCAATAAAGACATATCAAAAAGAAAACACATCTTAAGTATTTTTAAATGTATATTAGGCCTCATAGCTTGTAGGCATGTCGAGTACACACAACAGTAGCATCAGCATGGGAGTGGTATGAACATGAGAGGGCACTTGGGTTGAAAAACAGCCGAGTGGTCACACAAGCCTTGGAAACGTGGACATAAGCAGCCTCTGGACTGGTTTTTAAAAGGGAACCGTGGAGCAGTTTTATCCTCAGAAATAATTCCTTCAGCACAGCAGGAATCTGTCATCGTCCGCTTAACGAGAGAGAGAGAGAGAAATCTATGTGAGCAACTGGCAACTGGCCCTGTGAGCCCAGAGCAGGGCGTGTTTAAAGCTCCCAAACACATCACGATGAGCCACCATTCAGTCCGGACGGACAGCTTCCTGCTTCAGTTGATGGAGTCTGAATGAGCTACGAGCCCGAGCCCACAGTACGGTAACACGGGGGGGCAGACAACAGCAGCGAACACACCCGGTAGAAACGCCCTCAGCCCACACACACACACAGAGAAACGGACTCCCTAAGACGTGCATTTCACCCTTTAAGTACCAGCTAGCAGCTCGGCTAGCAGCTACGGAGCTAGTGTAGTGTTGCGGCTGACAGCATCAGCCCCGGTGGTGACAGCTAGCAGCTAACGCTAGCCCCCCGCTAGCCCCAGCCACAGAACGGCTGGACTCACGTTATAGCGAGCGGTTCGGAAGCTAGCCGTGTTCCTGCCTTTGAAGCTGCTCGGTTGGAATAAATGTAAATAAAAATACCTTTGAAAAATTTAAGGGCCATTCCGTACAGCTCCTGCAAAGGAAAGCCCCATTTCCTCTCTATCGCAGATTTGGCAGTCTCTCCATCTTCGCCGCCAGCGGCAGCCGGCTTCTCGGTCTCGGGCTCCGCGGGTGTGGGCTCCGGCTCTTCCACCGGGCTCTGCTCGCCCTCCGGGTCCGGACTGAGGGTGAGGCCATCGATGGAAACTTCGAGCCGGCTGGAAGTAGCGCTGTCGAGGTCGCCGCTCTGAACCTCTGTCGCCATCATGGAGACTGTCAGCTGAAGCGGCCACGTACCTACATCCGCTCACACTCGGCGGAAGATCCGGTGTCTTTTTTTTTTTTTTTTTAAAGCTATGTAAATAATGACGACGCTCCTGCCGATAAATTAAACATTTACAAAAGTAAAGTTTCTTGACTAGGTCACTAAAAAAACAAAAAAAACAAACATATTTTGTTTAATTTTGCAAACAGGAACATTTAAAGGTACATTATCGCTGGACTACAACAGTTTAGCTGTTATGGTATACCATAAAACTATAACCGTAGATTAGCTTTAGTAGAAGTTTACTACTATACTATAATGTACTATATTAGCTATACTAGGAATACTATACAACACGTTACAAATGAACCAAATGCTCCTGTTTGCTCATTTATTGTTCATTCTGGAAATATAATTTATTTTCAAAATAAAATACTCAAAGTCCAAGCCTTATTTTGATATTTATAATGAATTTCAATATTTTAGCACTGGTAAAATCAAATAAATAATAATGATAGCATTCTAGTTTAACACATAATTGTAAGAACACAGCGGTGTATGTAGGAGTTAGGCTCACTTGTATGTTGTGGCAGAATTGACATTCATCTTTAACATCAGATGAATATGTGAATATGATTATTCAAAGAAATGTTCCACACATATGACAAAGAAGCCAATAAATATCAAGAGTTTATTACCATGATCACACATTCAGAGAAACAATGAATAAGTCGACAGAGACGCACATGCAAGAGTCTTGATTTTGTTAAAGGGGATGAGTGCATTTTTACTTATTTCTTCTAATAAATATAAATTAGAACCTGCATGGATTTTTTAAAAAAGAAGGAAAAAAGAAGAAAAAAAGAAGAAGCAAGATTTGAGAGTTTAAATGATATAATATCTCATCTGAGCATTTTTAATGAACATAAAAGTAAGGGTACATTTGTTTATTACTAAAATAATAATAATAACTATATAGAAGACAGTTTCTAAATGACGTAAAACATCGACTATGTTAAGCATTTCTGACCTGACATCTGCCACCAGTTTATCTGCAATAAGCTAATATTAATTGTTGATGCATCTGTGAGTGATCCTTCCAGCTCTAACATGAACACACTTTACTGTAGTAACATTAATAATCCCGCGCTTAGAAGACAACAACAATCAGCACACTCAGCTACTAACAGTGATCCTATTAATGCACATTTGCACTGGGTACACAGTTCCATTAGGAGAGTATAAACACACTCCAGCTCCCTGAAATATCATTCAAATACACAAAGACTGCACTCACAACAAGGACAGCTGAGATTTTTAACGTATCTCTGCAGACTGGTGAGGATCATTCACCTGTCTGTCTGCAGAGATAAATGTATAGTGGCTCGATCAAACTGTGGGCTTGAAGGCTTTGAAGGTGTGAAATTGCTTTTGTTTTGGGCTGCGGAGGCACACTGGGAATGGTCAGCAGTGATCCTGAAGTGTTGCAGTCTGTTAAGCGCAGTATATAAGTATTAACCAAGTGAGATCTGTTTTTTAAAAGTCTAATTCAAATGTCAAACTTCTATAATGAGCTGCAAAAGCTTAAAATATATATATGACTAAATAAAAAGGCAAAACTGCAAAATGGCTGCACTTGTAATCCTGCATCTATGTTTTGTTGTTCATTGGTTGTGACCTGTCTTGTGTCTTGTGTCCATTTCATGATCCAGCTCTCAGAGGAACTGCTGCCGACCATCGTGAAAGATCAGGAACTTCAACACCTTAATTTTTAGCATAGCAATCTGGTCTGTGCACACAGGCAATACCCAATTAGAGCCCCCAGACAAAGCCACCTGTGAACTGTGAATGTCTCAACAACAAGCACCCCCCCTACCCGAACAATGCTGCAGGTGTCAAAGTGCAGACATCAATAAGCGCTCGTGTCAATGTGAAATGGCACGGAGGCTTGCAAGTCAATTCCTCAAGTCAGCAAGAAAAAAAAAATCACAGGGGCTCTTTGGTTTGTGCAATGAAGTCATTTTCCGGAGCATGACGCATTAAATGTTTTGCCAAATATGTAGTCAACACCCAGTAAGAGCTGCGTCCCATAAATCCCATGAACAGGAACGTCAAAAAAAGAGTCTGGAAATCATTTATATCTGCAGCATATGTTGCAGTGATCCAGTCAATTCACAACCAAAGAATGTTAAATGTAACGCACAGAACACGTGTTATTACCTGAGCATGTGTTTGTCACGGAATCAACCAGAACTGCTTGTGACCACAACAGCTAATTACTGTTCAAATACAGGAGAACAAATTAGTCTGTCTGGGTCACATTTAGGCTCCCTGACTTGATCCCTCTCTGAATAAGATGGAGGTGAGCCATTCAAGTGCCCACTCCGAGGTACTTTTGAACTGAGGTTTGTGTATTGAGATTGACTTTGTTGTCACTTAGAGAGGACAGGAAGCGTTAAAAAAAACTGTAGCTCAGTGTTGGAGAGCAGGCGTCGGAACACATTTTTTCTTCTAACATTGTTTGTAGACTTTTTTTTGCAGTTAAAGAAATATTTTGATAGTTGATTTTTCACATTCAGAAATGCCTCACATTCTCATAGTGGTAGTTACTGGGCTGCTGATTGGACAAAACAAGCAATTTCATGACACAATATTGGGTTTGAAGGCATTTTGATGGGAACTGGTCCCTAATTTCAGATATTTTAACCACATACCACAATTATTCTGAGTCACTTCTGGCTCATGCACACAGCTAGAGTACTTTTAATCAACCAAATTCCACACAAAGCGCACTGAATAGAACAAAACTTAATCTAAAACACATTCGGCATGTGGCTACTCTTCCTTTAAAACAGCATCAAATCCTCCTCATACACACATTTTTAAGGTGCTTGGCAGGTATGTTGTTCCAAACCTCTTGCAGGATTTGCAGCAGTTTGTGTTCAGTCATTTCCCAGGTCTGGGATAAATAAAGTATTTTTTATTCTATTCTAATCCCAGACTCAGGAGGCCATTAAATGTGTTGCATGATTCCCTTTCCTTCTTGAAGATTGTTATCTATGACTGGATGTCTGAGGCTGCTGCAGAGTGGATTTTATCTTATGGCAACCTATTGTGCGCACTTACACAGTCTAATTATTATATAAAGAGTTATAATTTTAGAATTGAATCATAAATAAAAGTGTATTAAATGTGTATGTATTCCTGTTGGCCTACAGTAGCACACTAAAGCCCTTTGAACCTCGGACCTGTTGAGGACATTTCCGATGAGGCAGCTTCCGACCGTCTCTCTTTGAAGGCTACAGGTCCATTACTGCTTCATCCATGCCAAAGCGGGTAAATGTTTTCTCTGCCGATGTGTATTGCGCACGCAGATTCCGTTATAACCCCCTCTTAAACAGACCTGCGGCCGCTCCAGCGCTCCGGGTGCGATGGCTTCACACCTCCGGCCGGCGGCCTGCAGACGTCTGAAGTTGCTGCGCGTCCGCTGCAGTGCCAGCCGACTCTGATGGTCGCCCCATTCACACATCCACACCGCAGCACCTTTGATCGCGGGAGGATTTAAGCCCACCGAGTGCACAGGTCTCAGAATTCAGTCGGTCTGTGGAGACACTGGACGTAGAGGATCATGTCTGCAGCTCATGGGAATATGCGCGCCGGGGATCTGAATCACTACCAGATGTATCAGGACGGGCATCTGCAGATGAACACTTTGGTGAATTCAGGTTGGTGGCTGGCTCTGTGCGTAATTTACGCATGCGATGTTTCCATGATCCAAACTAACTGTGCGTTTTGTTTTCAGAATATGGAGCCTCAGGTGTTACAGACTTCTTCAACTCAGCAAACTCTGTTCCAAGGGGGGACAAGTGCGTGGCAATACTGACCCACAGGAGAAAGAGGACCAATTTTACGCAGCAGCAAATTGAGGTGCTGGAGAAAGTTTACTCAGACACCAAATACCCTGACATCTACCTACGAGAGAGACTAGAGGCTCTGACTGGACTACCAGAGTCCAGAATCCAGGTACCTTCTGACTAACTGACACCAAATAAAGTTAGATTTAAGGATGTAAATGAGGTTAAATGGATTCTTGGTCTCTTTTTTTCCCCTCTTTCTAAAAAATTGTAGGTGTGGTTTCAGAACAGAAGGGCCAAATCTCGTCGCCAAGTTGGCTCATCAGTGTCCATGAAGGTGGCCAACACACCAGCAGCTGGACCTTTTGGGCAAATCCAGAACCGGATGGGTCCTGAGAGAGGTTAACATTAGTCATGTTCACTCGTATTTTGTGTCAGCTTCACTTTTATACAGAAAATTTATGTCAATCCCTCTAATTCAGTCTATTCTGCAACGTTTTTTTCTTTTAAATTTAACCTTTATTTAACCAGGAAGTCCCATTGAGATTCAAAATCTCTTATACAAGAGAGACCTGGCCCAGGTAGCAGCTGATCACAACATATTAAGATGCAACAAATACAAAGAAAACAACAAGAACAACTATTAAAACACATCTCCATCACCACATTCTTTATGATGCCCTTTAATTTATTCATTGATAAGAGTCTTTCTGATCCAAGATCTTTCTGCAGGTTATTCCAGGCCCACGGGGCATAGCAGGAAAATGCAGTTATCCCCAAATCAGTTCAAACTCGGGGTACGGTACTCTTTCCGTTTCTTACATTTCAGAGCTTTTCTTTTTTCCTTTCAGTTTTCGACAACCACCACGGTGCTGATGTACACAGGATGGGAGGGTTTGGACTAGAGGACAGTTTCAGGCCTACACCGCACCAAAACACAGAGGACACCAACAGGACCGGCCATCCCATCAAACCCAGCAGCTACGACCACACATCCGCTTCCTGCGTCTACCACAAGGACGGAGCGAAGCCTGAGCAGCTGCAGCGACAGCCCCCAAAGATGGAACCCAACGCCCCCGGCCACCAGGGTCAGAAGGTTCTGGTGGAGTATGACAACTTCCCACCGAACAAAACCATTGGACCGGAGATGAAAGTTGTGATTCCTCCCATCCCAGCGCAGAACAACTTCAGCAGGTCGTCGCCAAAGGATCACGGATGCCAAATGCAGTTTTCACAAATGCGGCCAGCAGGGGACCGGTATAATTCCGTCCCCCAGATCCAATCCACAAAAGCAGTGGACTTCACAGACTCTGACTCTGACTGGGAAAACGACACCATGGCTGGATTTGGTGGCTTCATGTGACGTGTTAAAACATCCAACATAAGGAAGCCACATGTGTAATAAGACAATGTGTATTTATTGTAAAATAGTAAGAAAACTGTTGACTGTAAAAAAAAAAAAGAAAAAAAAAAAGTAATGGTTTATTAAAAAAAATAATGACGAAAAGCTGCTGCGTTGCAATATTATGTTTAATATAAAAAGACAGAAACATTTATTTACAATTGCCCTGAGGCACTCTCATATACAACTTTACAAAACTGAAAAAGGAGATTCTCTAGGAAAGAACTGTTGACTTGAGTTTTCAGGGTTACGTCAGTGATGCAGGCTTAGTGTGTGTGTGTGTGTGTGTGTGTGTGTGTGTGTGTGTGGGGGGGGGGGGGTTGCAGCAACAGCCATGCCAAACGTGGAAATGCTAAGATCTTAGGGAGTAAAAGGCATCAAAACCCCGGAGTTCTCCTTTATAAAAATACCAAAATCTCTTTTCAGTGCACACAAAATTACAAAATCCATTTCCGAATACGCAGCAGAAATGTCGACAATAGTCCTAATAATCAGAGATATTGTACAATTATCTACAATAAACAATTTTATAAAACATTCTTTCGATCCCCCTGTGCTTACCGTCGGCGGAGCAACAACACATCCAGGGGAAAACGTTAGAGATAGCAAAATATCGTTTCATAACCATACACACCTACGCAAAAATAAATAAATATGAACTATAAAAACTGTTAGAATCAATGTTTGGCACATGAAACCAATAAATAACATGTTCAGAATTTGGAGATGTGAGATTGTGGCGATAGCTAAAGATTCTTTCAGACTTGTGTTCAGTTGGGTGCGCAAACATTTCCATACAATAAAACGGGCGAATAAAACATCTGACATCCTCCGTCTCCTTTAGATGAAAACTCCCAACAGGAGTCTGTGCAGAACTCTGAATTCCCAAAGAAAACCAACCGCTCAGATTGTACGATGGTGATCCACAACATCAACATGAGCCTCTTTTTTTTTTTTTTTCTTTTTGTAGTCTTGACAGTTCAGGTGAAAGCACCATTTTCAAAAGACAACATTAACGTACCACACCTCTGCGTGTGTGTGTGCATGCACCTGTGTGTGTGTTTTAGGGACGATGCAGGTACTCAGACTGCATTGGTGTTGTTGGCAGCAAACGCATGCAGATTGCCCAGCTGACTAAGGCCGCTCTGGATGTGTGCCACGTGGATCTCGACGTTGTTCTGGAAGCAACTGGAAATACAGAAGAGAAAATAGCACACGTGTGACGAATCAGTGAAAAGATAGAGATCATAAAAGAATCATGTTTATTGATCAGGTTTGCTAAAAAGAAAAAAAAAACTATGAAAATGTCAGTCTCTCTTGGTTCAGTTCAGGGTTTGTTTAGGGTTTCAGGGTTATTTACCTGTGGTTGGAGGGATCAATCGATGCCTTGATGTCATTCAGGGAGTCTGTTAGAGATTTAAACTCAAATGAATTCAAATCTCCTCCGTCTGCCAGACACTGAAAAAGACAGAAAAACAGAGCTGATCATGAACGCATTACATTTCGGTGTGTGTACATAAAAAGCTGCAGAGGTAAGTCACTTTACGTATTACTGCTGCCAACATCTCTAAATTGGTTCTCTGACGCACTGGAAAGGAAACTGGAAATATGTGATCTTTGGTTTTAAAATTACGATGAAACAGTGAACTAACTCGCAGACACGCAGGAATGTATTTTGAAGAGAGTGCATCCTGCATCATCCTGACATATGTTTAGAAATTTGTGAGCAGACTGTTGATGCGTCTCCTACCTTGATCTGCAGGAGCAGGGCAGTGAGGCGGGAGATGAGGTGAGTGAGGCTGGGATTGGTCGCACTTTGCTGTCCGTCCTTGGGCGAGCTGATGAGCTGCACCATCTGCTGGGCCTCTTCTTCGCAGCGTCGCCGCAGCTCTGTGGGATGGTCGGCTGGAACCATGCCCTGATCCGGAGCAAGCTGGACAGATGCACATCGCTGATTAACCCCCTGGATCCCCAAAACCCACTGGCCGATTTGAAAGGCGTGTTTTCTTTGATGAGGATCACCAAAATTACACCAATTATCAGCCACAAACCGTAAACGATTTGAGATCAAAATGATGATCTTTATTCATAATTCCTTTATCTAAATGTCTCACTTTATGTTTTGCCAAAAAGAAATTGCTTGCTCTAATGAGGTTCTGTATAAGACTAATTGTTCTGGCTCCCTGCTGCAACTGTGAAGCCACTAGTGACTCTGCTATGGCAACAAGTCACTTAACAAAACTTCAGGGACTTTTCAGTAGAACCATAGACTGTAGGCTGATACAGAGCAGATACGAGACAAGTATGGAAGTAAATTAAAACGGAAGCAGTAAATTATCTGTAGTATGTAGAGTCAGTTTTTAAAGTATTGGGAAAACTTGTGGGCAAAATGTTGCACATGCCAAGTCCAGATTTTTTCCATGATTTTGTTTTTTTAAAATAAAGAAACTGAACCTTTTTTTTTCCACGATTGATGGCATTATATCTTTGCTATGCTGAACACAAGGCATGTCTGAGTCCCTCTACTTCTGTTCATGGTTGCGTTGTTTCCATAGGGGTGCAGGATTTTATATTGCAGTGAAAAATGAGCCCGTTGTGAGTAAAAATGTGACAAAAAACTGACCAGAAACCACTTGAAATTCAGAACAATTAATGCAACAAGCCTCTGTTACTTAAAGTATTTTTCATCTGGTCAAGACTCACAAGAGTCCTCACAACAGGCCATGAGGTACTAAAGCATGCTCATGTATTGTTGTAGCTACAATCAGAGAGAATTCTGGACACGACTTAAGCGTACGCTTTCACTTACCTCACAGCAGAACTGCTGAACTTCATGAAGCACCTTGTTGAGATCTTTATTGAGCTGCTCCAGTTCGAGCACAGTGGTCGCATATCGCTTCTGGAAGTCCAGGTCAATAGGCATCGAGTACGACTTCTGGACACAAACACACAAACGTAGTTAAGTTACGCCTGATGTCTGCGTTTTATAAGCATACGATAGGTTTTGATTTGAAGCGATGTGTAAATAATGACGACTGTACCAGCTTCTCAGCCTCCGTGTTCATTTCTTTCAAGTGTTTAATGTGCTCTTTCTTGATCATGAGGATTTTGGACAGCCTCGTCTAGCAGCAGGAAAACAACAAGATAACGAACGCGTTAGAACAAAATGTTAAATTTTAGGATGTCACCTTTCAGAATTCCATTTAACAGGAGCACTTACCACTTGGACCAGGAATTTAACAGGAAATCCTCCCAGTGTGTCTCCCTCAGCACCGGGCAGTTTGTTCCTCCATGGTGACTGGTTGATAAGAGGGTCATTGTCCTGTTATTGGAAAAAAAAAAAAGGCAGTTGAGTCATTTATCTTCATGAGAAATCCAGAAGAGAAGATTTATGACTTTTCTTAGGATTAGTTTGAGTTTCCTTATTTAAACAACGATGTTCTTAGCTTTGATTAAATTAGTTTTATTTACTTTTTCAGAGCTAAAGATCAAACCAGTACATTGTTTTCCTCTTTGGCTTTTCTGGCAATATTTATAAAGTGCAGTAGAGAGAGACAGAATAGATAATAATGTGGGAAAGAGCTGAGGTTGGGTCAGCTGCTGAACTAGCGACCGAGCTTCTAAAGGGCACGTCAGGTCATGCAGTGTGTGCTGGAACAGGAAGTGTACAATGATCTCGCTTCAAGGTCTGACAGATTCATGTTATAGAAGAACTCTCTCTTTCACCAGCAAGTAAAATGCCTACATACAGGTTTTCATGCTCACATTTACAGTCTACTTTGAACACAAAGGAAAATATTTCTGAATGACTGCTGCTTCAGTGGATAAATCTAATCTCACCCAAAGCAGATTTAAGCCAACAGCAGAAATCATTAACAGCTGTTTGCATGGGGGCAGCAAATGCACATCTGTTATTAGATGCCAGTTTACCGTACCATGTGGACAGGAGTGGTAGCGGACGGGTAGGGCCCTCTGGGCGGAGTCATGAGGTTCTGCATGAAGCGCGTCGACCGGTGCTTCTGGGCAAAGGCTGAAATAGGCATGGTCTCGTTGGGCTCGTTGCTCTGGAAAACACCATCAGAATGTTTAAGATTGTGACCTGAAACGTCTTTCGTACGGCTCCTGACATTTCTGTACAGTCCAAGAGAGAGTGAGGTCGGCAGGACAACAGGCTCACCAGGACTTCGTAATCAGGCACAGTGTGTGTTCCCAGGCCACTGCGGTCGAAGGTGACACGATAGGTGGCAGCACTAGTGTCGACTGCATCAATCTGCCCTGTGAACAGTCCGTCATGGACGCCCCGGAGTCGAGCTGTCGAGTGAAGGAAAGAGATTTTCTTCATTTTTGTTCAACTCACTGGATAAAAAGAATTTCTTCAGAAAAGGACCCAGTTTTTATAAAGCCGCTATCCCTCCATTTGAAATAAAAATGCTGACTTGGCGCAGGTAAACGCAGTGTTTTTCATCTAGGTCAACTGCACGGACTCCTGATCTGCTAGTCTAGCTAATGCATAGTGCTGCAGTCACCGTGGCACAGTACTGTACAGTTGTAGTGTTTCGGTCTTGATTGCACGTTTAGGACAGTATGTGTGTTCACTTCAGTCATCTCACCAGTGACTTTGGTTCCTATGATGAGCGGCAGGGGGATTTCTTCAGGAAGGTCTTTGCAGTTTGACACGTCGGACAGTTTTCTTTGCTGCAGCAGCCGCATTTTCTGCCGCTTCTGTCTCAGCGCTGTTCGCTCTTCTGCAAAAAATGCTGATGAACACCTGGAAAGGACAACGGAGAATGTTGCAGCACGTTAAGTCTCCAAAGAAACACGAACGAAAACTGTGTCCTGGACAGAATAGTAGGGAAAAAAAACAGATGAAATGAAAACTGTGTGTATGGAGAAAGCACAAAGATCACAGCGTACCGTCGAGGTTTCCCCATCAGTCTCCTTATTGTTCCCCACTCAACTCTCGTCAGCTTTCTTGTCTTCAGGTTGGGAAAAGACTCTTTGAGACACAGGCAGAATTCATTGTCGCCCTCAAAAAGAGGCCTGAAAGAAGATAAAAGGAAAAATAGATTAACTCAAAAACTCTAAACAACTCGATTACAGGAAAATTTACATTTCTGGAAGTCCAGGTTTATCAAACAATTAAATTAACCCGAAGTTACTTCAACTATGTTATAAATAGTATAATTTGAGAGTTCAACCACTGCAGTTTTTTTTGATACACAGAAATTAAAGTGAATGGTGCGTTTACTTTCAGTTGAACTGACCGTATCTGACTGTAAGCGGAACTCCAATGTGTTTATGCCTCGTCTGTGTTGTTCATGTGAACCTATTTTAAAATTCTTGTCTGTTAAAGGTGGAAGTGAGACTTTACCTGTCGATATTGGAGTAGAACCATTCATAGATGCACCATTTGTGAGCTTTGGGAAGTTTGAGGAGGTTTCTTAATCTCAGCCCTATTTTTTGGGACGCCTTCTTATCTGGTGTCACAACAGTCGAAAACTTCTGTAAGAAAAACAAACAAACAAACAAAAAAAACACAGTCAGTCTCTGTTTAATATCAACACATAATTAATTTAAGTTGGATTATCCATCCATCCAATCCTCACGAGGTTCGCGGGGGGGGCTGGAGCCTATCCCAGCCAACTTAGGGTTGGGGACACCTGGACTGGTCACCAGTCTATCACAGGGCCACACTTAGAGACAGACAACCATGCTCACATTCACACCTACGGACAATTTAGAATCACCAATTCAACATGTTTCTGGACTGTGGGAGGAAGCCAGAGAACCCGGAGAGAACCCACACTGCACGGGGAGAACATGCACACAGAAAGATTCCGGTTCCTCCACCGGGACGCGAACCGGGGACCTTCTAGCTGCGAGGCAACAGTGCTAACCAACTGTGCCACCTTGCAGCAAGTTGGATTATGCTAAACAAATTCCTGTTTTTTCTTCTTTCATGCAGGGCAGCTGTAGAGAGGTTTCTGTTGGCAAATGATCCACCGATAGGCGCATCAGCGGTACCTTGTCGTTCTGCCAACCAAGCTGAAAAATGATCATCATACTTTGAGGGGCTCAACACGTGTGGTCGAGCAGATAATGAATTAGAAAGCGCAGCTTCTAAACAGCTTGCTATGTTTCCCTCACAGCTCCAGTTTAGCACAGGAGAGACAGCATTATAGAGCTGATGTTTACTTCATAGCAATGCGTTTTACTGAACTATCCAACAGCCTCATTGTTTTCTGAAAAGTTCTAGAGCTGGTTATGGTTCTGCTAAGGCAAAAAACAAACAATTGTTCTGGTTGCTTTATATTAAAAGACTCTGAGCGCAGTCCATCAGTCACTTCTCCTACTTCAAGTCAATAAATCAGCATGTAAACGTCATAATATATGTTATTATAGTTAAATAGGCAGATATTACAACTCTGCAGCGCATCTCAGAAAACAGAATCTTCCCTTGAGAAAGCTGTGGCAAAATCGGTTGTGAGTAATCGCTGCATTAAGAATGTAATTAAATGGCCAATATCAGACAAACAACAAATGCTCTCTTGATTTCCAAGCTTAAGCTCCATTAACTAAACATTTTGTTCCAGTCTATATCAAATGTAGAGCTACAGCATGGACAGACTTGGTGGCAACTGAATCTCAAACAGTATCTCTCCACACTTTCCACACCATCCTCAAAGGCGAGAGTGGGAAGTGGGAAATGAATGCTGCCTTTTCGCACGTAACCCTCTGATGGTGCGTAGTCGGTCTTTACCTGTGGTGTGGTGGTGACCCTCTGGCTCCTCCGAGGGGACCTGGAAGGGAGTCGCTGCTGGGGCGGCTCGTCTTCGTCCCGGAACAAACGGCTCCTCTTTGAGCTCCGCGTGGGCTGGAAGAACAAACGGAGTTTCTAAGCAGCCGTGGTAATTTTTTAAGAAGCACCTTCCCATAGCACACGAGTATTAACACGAGGCGTTCTGGTATGTCTGAGGAGCAAAAGCACCGGTCAATCAAATTTATTAACGCCGGCTCAGCTCCATCGAGTGTCCCTGAAAGCCGTGAGAGTGGACCCGCATGTACAATACAAGGACCCTGGGAGTCGTAGGTATTTTTATAGATACACCTGCGCCTTTCCTGGTATTTCATAACAAATGATCTACCATGAAAATGTCTGTTTAATGGAATATGAAGGCATCAGTGTGGAAAAAAACCCAACACGACATGCATGCAGAAATGTGTTACGATCCCGCAGATACAGATTCAGGCAATGTCAACCAAGCACACTCCGTACGGATTCAGAAAAACATTTGAACGCAATATTTGCCATTATAATAAGTGTTAATTGCTGTCAAGTTAACCACAACACCACAGAGACGGTGCAGAATACAGTCACAAGGCATGTTCTGGTGAGATGAAAACATCCACCAGCACACACGTTTCTTTGGGTTATAAAAGTATTTTGTACACTATCTACTGAAGTGTGGTGCAAATATGTTCAGAAAAGTCTCAAGTCGTTCCACAGCCAACTACCGAATTAAATCAAAAACAAAAATGTGCACAACACCTCATACAGACCACGGACCTCTAGAGTGCATTTTCCTTCCAAATCACGCATCACACTGGTGTGAAACAACTTAATGAAGTAATAACTTCAACTATTCAGCTGGAAACAACAATTTTAAAGAAAGCACTTAAGTGTGCTGATAAGATTAGCAACGGGCAGCGAGCGCACAATCACAGCAATAACACATGCACATCAAACAGGAGCCCTTTAATTACTGAGTAATAGGATAATGGGATCCAATTACTCACATCTACAAAGAATGAACAAGTTCTCAATACTCTCCTTTGCGCCTCTCAAGGCTTCCCTTTTTGGGCGAATATGCGATATGTGAACATTTTATGTAAATCCTTGTAAAATGCTGGACGCTGCCATTTCGGCCATATTACTCCCATCAAGGAGTGGCTGTCTTAAGACGCTTTCTTGGTAAGTAGAGGTAAAAAAAATTTAGACTTTAAAGTGCCCATTACAGAGGCATTATAGTCTGTCATTTGCATAGTATACATAAGAAATATAGACCATAAATCCCATGGGAGAAAAATTCATTACTACTGCTATAAAACCAGTGACAGTTTCTGAGATGTTTTAGTAATCAGGTCAAAAGGAGTCAACCATGTGTGGCTCAAATATATTTTGCATATAATTTTCAATCAGGATGGCAAGCCTTGGTCATCCACATGGTGTCGACTCAGTGCCTGATATATGTACAATATAATGCAATGCAATAGATTTCTACTTCTTTGCTAGTTTTGTAAATTTTAATACCACCTGACACCAAGCACTGACCTGGGAGGGGGGGACAGAGTCTTCTCTGTTGCCCCCCCCACCCTCTGGAACTCCTCACCACCAAACATCCATAACCGCCCGAACCGGTCCACGTTCACATCACTCACCAGAACTCACCTCCACAAAGACGCTTTTAATGTGTGATTGTTTTTAAATGCACTCAATGCTTTTTGCTTTCTGCTGTTGTTTTTTTGCATGTCGTTTTTATTTCTAGTTGTTTTTATTCACTGTGCAGCGTCTTTGAGCGTTCGGAAAAGCGCTTTATAAATAAAATGTATTATTATTAATACAGACATTGCACACATATGTATTCCCTCTAACTTGTGAAGCGTTCGTGTTACTTTCTAACATTTTATAAACTGACCTCTTAGTTATTGTTTTAAAGCGTAGCATTCAACACGTTGAGTTTAACAAGCGCTTTTTCACTGCATCCTTTTCACAAGTTTAAACACTGATCATCCTGACGTCTCTTACCGTGTCCATCGTGACGGAGGAATGCCGTCCCCTGGTGTTGTGAGCTCTTGGGAAGCTGTTTTTTTCATTCAGAGTGTTGGACAAGCTGCCCTCTGTAAGAAGACCAATGCATTGATGCATACTAACAATAATAATCATAATAATAATGTAAAAACACCAGATACCAGACCCTAGCTCGCAAATCACACATGATGTCAATGAATTCTCTGTTTAAGACTGGGAACCTTCAAGCCTTAACATTAAAGAAAGATCTATATTTGCTAATATAGAGTGGAAATAACTGTCCCAGTGGGGTTTTACATGCAGTTTTATCTGTCGTCACAAAGGTTCAGGCATTGTGGGCTGTCACGGTAAGCCTGTCATTATTGAGGGCGATACAGAACTTTAATCCAATGAAGGACTTAAGATTCCTGACCACTTTTAACCAGTAAACCACAGCATACGTGATCCAAGACCGCTACAGACACGACCAGGTCAGAATCATCTTCAGTGACAAACGATGTTTAGACGTACAAGAAACCTGATCCCAGTTTACAGTAGCTTTGCATGTGTCTGCACACTTTAGCAAGAACAAATCTCAAAACAGATTTAAAAATTATAATAATCATAATAAAACTCCCATCATACCTTTTAGACTGACGAGTGCCTCTGCTGAAGAGCCTGATGAAGAGAACAAATTGGGCTTCATCAATATACAGGTGCAAACTAATGGCTTAAGATAACACATATTAGAGTAAATTTAACATTTAGTAATTATATTAACAGACATGTAAGTGTGCTAGGAAAGGTAATTAGGTTATGTTCCTTATATCTGAGTTAAAATGCTCCGTTGATTTCAGCTACCAAAGAATCCATGAGGCTGTCCTTTAAACCCTGACAGCAGCCAGGTGGGTTAACTGGAGTTAGACATGGCTAGCGCCGTCCGTTAGGCCTTCACCCCCAGTTCGAGCTGTCAACCACGGGTGTAACATCAGCTGGACAGACCGCATCAAAAGAAACGAGCTAAACAAGCTAGCGTTACACCACGTTACAAGCCCGAACGTAGTATTTACTTACATTAGCTACGCTCACCGTCGACTATTTCAGGTGTTAACAGCCGCACAACTTGGCTAGTTTCCCGTCACCGGCTTGTCAGAACGACACACAGCGCGTAACCGTGTCACGTTAACCGGCGCTAACGAACGTTAAATGTGAGGAAAGTGTCACGGAAACTAAAAAAAACTATGTCCAGAATAAAACGCGTAGCTAGCTAGCAGCTAGCGACGTTGCGGTGGTCCTTTTGTTATTGTTGCCTCCGCTGTGAGGTTAGCAGACGTTAGCTCACGGCTAAGCTAACGTTATTTGTTTACCCAGTTGGGCTAAAGTAACTTGTTCAACTCCAACATTAGCTATGGTTAGCCTCTCGTGCTAACAAGCGTTAGCTGACTTGGACAGACCCGGTGTCTCTTTGAACGAAAACGGCTTTGTGAAGTCTACGCGAAACTTACAATACCAGTTACGTGGACGGCGATGTCGGTTTATCGCTAATTATTTATTTTTACCAGTACGGGACCGCTGCTTGTGTACAATGCTAAACTCCTTGAATTTGTGTTGTTACTCACTCTCGTCTAACAGCTGGTCCATCTCCGCCATCTTGAATTAGCCGCGCCGCTTTTTCAAAGACCTTGTCAAAATGCATTCTGGGTCGGGACGCTATCTGGAGGGCGATTTGAGAAATAAAAATGCTAGGATTTGCCAAAGCGGTGGATGGAGAATCGCTTTGTTTAATTTATTGGCGTAGACGAATAAATTCAGTCACTGTAAATCCACCTTTTCAGTGTTAAATGTTGATGGAAAAACCGCTCCATATATTAAACAAGAAACTAGACTCCACAGTGATGGTCTATTGTTTCACACGGCCTTCAATGTTGTCATGTATTTCATTTTTATATTTCTATTCAGAGGCAAATCCTTGGAGTTATACACAGTATCTACACAATACTTTCATGTATGTGTATTTATAGATAGGAAGCATATAAGTAAATGTGAGTTAAATATTGGCAGGATTTATGTTTTTATATATAAAATAAAATTCAAGTTCAAGATGAATTCTTCAGCATAATGTTCGCCCACAAGGTCCTGCAGTGTTTGACCCTGATCTCACCAACAATCTATTTAAAAAAATAAAATAAATAAATTCCATCCAAAAACTCAACATGCATCAATCTCATGTGCAGCACAATAATAATAATAATAATAATAATAATAAAGACCCACAAATGTACACGTGTGGTATTTTTCAGGATGTTTTATTTTGTTTGAGGTAAGCAAGAAAAAGACTAAAAAAAAAACAAAAAAACAAACACGTTACATGGCAGTTGTGTCTTTTACAGAATACTTCGCATAAACACTGACCACATTCTTTTTTTTTTGTTTTTGTTTTGTTTTTTTTAAGCAAGGAAGCGCTTCAGACACAAAACGACAAAAGAAATATTTACATGTAAAACCCTATACAGTATCTCCATATGCAGCGGTCTACAAAATGTGCATCTTAGTGGCTTTCTCACGGAGCAGAACATAAAACGTTGAGTGTGTCTGCAGGTCGCTCGCTCGCTCGCAAGTCCAAACTCCTTCCACAGTTGCAGTGCTATGCCGTTTTAACTACAGGTTTATTAAAGAATGACAAAATAAGATCCTTATCAAAATAAAGGTTACCACGTGAGACAGAGAGCTACCAACGTTTACAGACGTTTTATCTCCAAACCTTTGCATCCACTGTGTGCTTTAACTACCGTCCAGTCATACGAGCAAGTCAGAAGGAGGTTTTAAAGTACCTAAACGTATCACTATGGAAGACTGCCTGCTACTAAACCTGATGACAAAGCAATAAAGTGACGAAAGGTTTCCGATGACCATTTGCAAAGCGTGGTGTGGCGTCGCTCCTTTTTCAAACATGAAGCCCGGGCGTTCGGAGGCAACAGTGGTCTTTGTTTCGTTCACTGAAGGTGGGGGGGTTCGGACGCCGGTCTCCTCACCACAGGGACGTCTGGTAGTTGAACTTGATCTTCAGGAGATACTTCATGTTGATCTGCGCGACGTCGTACACAATGTACCTGGAGGAGCAGCGGTTAAAGAAAACGGACCAGACAGATGATGGAGCTTCAGCTGTTTTACCTTGATGTCGGCTACCACGAGTCTAAATGAGTGATTTATGCATCCGTTTGTGTCACAATAATTCTTTTCATCCTTTTGTGAAACAGTGCAGGAGCCCTGGAGGGATCCACAGAATGTTCAGAGAGCTCCAAAAGAACACTTCTCCTACATGAAGATAAGATGTGCTGACTAAGCACAGATGCGATCCAGAAATCAAAATAGCAACATCAGGCCTAAATTCAGGCCGAATGACACGTTGGGAGAACTTGGCACAAGAGTTAAAGCAGTTCAACGCCCTTCCTCTACACTTTATTCATTGTCAAGTACCTCAAGTGCCAGTTTTTTGCATTTTCATACACCTCTATTACAGAATTAAGCATACGGCCAAGCAGGAAAAACCATTTTATCACCACATCCATGAACAAGCCGATGAACATTAAAGGATACTCGTTGTACAGTAGACTTGTGTCGTCGATGTTGGTGTGGGCGCCTTTTCCCAGAGGCACTTGCACACCATCTAAACTGACTGTAGCGCTCGGATCCGGAGCGGTTCTACCCAAACCTGGAAAGAAAAGAAAAAAAGGCAGATGAATGAAATTCTGAAGCAAATAAAACCTAGTATGTAAATTAATAACACATACTATAAATAAAACCTGCCACACTTAAAACACTTCAAATGTCATATTTCAATATGCTTCGTTAAAATCAGCATTCACATTAATGCAGCGCTGCACTGTAATTACACTAATAGCTGATCAATGCAAAGTTATACAGAGGGACCCTGTGGTGTACGGGTGAAGTTTATCTC